TTACTTTAACTGCTACGGAGCGACTTTTATAGCAAAAAATCGTAACTGACCTCGTGCTCTTTACCTCAGGATTTTTTGCTACTAGTCAGTCTTCTCTTCTTAACCCGTGTTAACTTCTCAGTCCACGTCTTGCTTTCTGTGAAACTATAGAAAAAGTTGAACAGTGCCACTTGGGCTCCGAGCAATTACTTTTTTCCTCTTTCTATCTGTAAATGAAGCACGATGTCAGTTTGAGCTAAAAACTGAACTACGAACCAACTCTCTTGTTTCCACGTCGAAATTTCTTAAAGCTCATCAGGTAGAGGCTTGTCAAAGTTTCTCAAAAGACGCGAAGGAGCAAGGAAGGAAAATTGTAGCACGCTCGAAAACATGGCAGGCGAATCCGGGTGGCCTCGGGTGAGACGATTGCGTGCGATAAACGAATATGGCCGACTTCGACAAAACAACAAGTCTCCAAATCATCTTAAAACAGAAGGGTCTAACAAAAATGCCTCTGCCTGCCAGAAGCTACACACCGGTGGTCAGCGCAGTCTCGTAAATGAATTTCAATACGCTAAAGTTCCATACTAATGGCCAATGGTTTAGGAGTAGCCCTTATGGCTTCTGATGGGCTGCGATGCTGCAAATGCAAGGAATGCAATGTGTGGCGCATTAAGTTCAGAAATTGTGGACATTTTGCTTGCGTCGCATGCGCCCTTCTACATCTCCAGGTAATAAGTGTGGCAAACAAAATTCTTACTTTTTCAGTTAAATGATACTTGGTAAGAGAATAAGTGACACTGGGCCCGCTGAACTAGTCGCAGTACCCACATAATGACATTCATTGTGTAAAGATAACAATATTAATACCAGGAACAATAATTTAGTTCTTGGCGATAATGCTAACAACAGTAATAATGATTTTTAGTGACAGCACTAACATTAATAATTATAACAATAATAACAAGAGTAATAATAAGAATGACAACAATAATAACGACAATAACGGTATTAGAACGCGCCACAATTCATCTTTTCGGTATAGTGAAAACACACAAAAATAGCTATTGCCAAACGAAAAAAAAGGATTCAAATCTAAAGGTCACAAATTTATCAAACCTGAATCATCTGAAGATTGAATGAAATTGCATGTAGTACTGGATCGCGGATGAAAATAAGGCAAGAATCAAGTGCGTAAAAAGGACGTGCCCAAAACGTATCCACGAAAATGACATCGATGCGCTGTTGGACGTGGAAAACACCGATCTTGACATTTATATGGAGAAAGCGGAGCGCGACGAATTACTTTACGAGCACCGGAAACAAAGCATCTACTATGCTTTCAGTGGCATGGTCAAACGATGCCCACTTTGCAAGGTCAACTTTTCAGTCACCATCAAAAAGAGTTCCATGAGTAAGGAGCCTAAGTCAAATTTCTTAAAAAAATTCAAATTTCGATCCCCATTATTCACATCACAACTTAATAAATTGAAATCTAAATTTTACTCAGAATTCTTAGTACTGGTTCCCATTGCAGTCGATTTACATGGAATATGATGGCTGCCATTTTGTGCAATGCGTGAATCTGCGATGCAAGCAACGCTTTTGCTGGATGTGTAATGAGCCAATTGATTCGTTGCAACATTTTGCTGGTACCACCGCTTCAGGCTTTTATCCTTGATAATTCTTAAATAGTAAGAAAAGAAACAGAGCTTGTACGATCCTCAGAATTTGGACAAGCAGCAGCGTATAAAGTTTTGATCGAAAACGAAGAACATCTTAGCAACTCTTCAGAGCACCACGCGTTCCATATGCTGCTACAACCGGTCATAGCCGTGTCCCTCGTGGCGCAGCCGCACTGCTTGGCCATATATCACAAAAACGTTTCAATTCTTCACCACTTACCGCCATCAGATCAAATCGCTACTTCGTTCAAACTATTCATTGCGTGTTTTTTTTTTTTTTTTCTATCTCCGCCTCAGTAAAGGAAAATGCGAAATAGTGGAAAAAACTATTAACAGATTCTCTTTTTCAATTTTTGGTGAAGTCTGAATGGCCGCCAATTTCTTGCATTGAAAATGCGAC